ACGTACAACATTTTTAAATACTACTAATACATAACTATTCTGAAGAATTGGATTATCTTTAGGAACCATAATCAATTTTTTTTAGTTTTCTTTGACCTATGATCCATCTTTTGAATCTTATTAATTTTTTCTACTGCTGAGTTTCGTTTAAGATACCATATTTGTTCTCGTCTAAGAATAGGTCTTTCATTCGAATTTGAATTGTTAATCAAAGAAAATTAACTGGATTTGAAGAAATTGAGTCTAATCCAGTGTTAATTCCATAAACTCCGATCTGTGATCTCACCATATTTTTTCTCATAAAGGCTTCATGCTTTTTTCTGCAAAAAATTATCTAGAAATTCTGTTTGATAGTATAAACTCGATGTATCTAATTCTAATCAAAAAGATAAAATCTTTAATTTAATCTACTAAAAATAAAGTTATCTTCTTATCTATACTTGATAAAGGATACTTGATTCTTCCTTTGATATTCACCTAGAAGACTTTCTTTGGAAAATTACCTCGACTTTTTTTCTGCTATCAAAAGAAACTGGTGAATGTAAATATATTTTTTGATTTCTTCATTTGTCCATTCTAAACAAGGATGCTACCTAATTTAGAGTTCTTTATTTTTTTTTGAATGAAAAAAAATGTTAAAACAGATCATTGAGTATTTCTTTTGCATCCAGAATTATTTAAATGTCTTTCAAAAAACTTTTCATCATATGGGCGGTCTAGTTGGATTTTGAACCACGGATACAAATAACTAAATTTGGACTTAATACTCTGACACAGTATTCATGTGCTTGAAGCCTTTCAAGTAAACCTATTATTTTACAAAAAAATCAAAAATTTCAAAGATATAATATATATATATAACGATACGATTTTTATTGTTTTTTTGGAATTATGAAAAATCGAGATTCACATTTTAAGACTATTTTATATTTTTTTTAATTATTATAAATTTACTTCAAAAGTGATATAACTGGTAAAAATTTGTTCAGTCTTGAATGAAGCTGGTAAAGAATGTAGTCTGTTTTTTCTGACTATGGCTCTACTGGAAATCAAATAAATTACAATTTGAAACAATTCATCCTTCAAATTAAATGAATATTTTATTTTAAGTTCTTATAATCATTGTATTTGCTTATTCCGAAGATTTCCGAAATTTTTACAAGAAAGTTTCTTTCTAACAATGCAGAATTACGCATATAGTGTTTTTAATTGTATGCATGCAGAGGTTTGTTTTTAGCATTGACATAATTATTCACCGCAGAAAACCGTTGTAATGTTTACAAAACATAAACATCATCTGATTTTGATGTGGGAGTACCCAGGACATATTCACGAGTACAAACACTAAATTAAAATAATATTTAATTGTTAAGTTCCTTCCCCTCGTTGGAAATATTTTCTAAATAAAATAAAACATTGTTTAAAGATATCAAGTAAAGTTTAAAATGTCATTCTATAAATTATTATCGCCAGAAAGAAGCGGATTTGTATTCAAAATTCATAGAGAAATGAATGATAACGCTTTAGCAAATACTCGTAATGGAGAACAACAAAAGGATTATTTTTTTTCATTAGTCGAAAAAAACAAGGGGCTTTCTGAAAATGAAAAAAAATGTTGCAAAGAATATTTTGTTTATGAGTTTGAATTAAATAATGTGAGAAATAAATTAGGCAAACCAAAAGAATGTAACAAGTGCAAATTTACAAAATATTCTGATAGGTTTTGTGAAAAGTGTATTGGTCTACACTTACAAAGTCTTTTTGACGCTTGGACATCTGATAATGACATAGTTGATGGTTTTATTCAACAATGTCAAATTCTCTCATCCTTGCCAACTCATATTTTAGAATGGATACCTTATGAGCAATTTAAAAAAGTAACAAAATTAACTGAAGGTGGATTTAGTTCGATTTATACTGCAGAATGGACAAGAGGAACCATTATTGATTATGATGAAAATAAAATGGAATTTGGTTATTTAGGAGCTCAAAATGTAGTATTAAAATGTTTAAATGATTCAAGTAACCCAAGAAAAGAATTTTTTAATGAGGTAATTTATTTTATTTTATTTGTAGCAAAATAAATAATATTATATTATATATAGCATTAATTGATTTTATGTTTATTTCCAGGCATTGAATTATTGTAAAATTAAATCACAAATGATTGTTCCTTGTTATGGTATAACTAAATTCCCCGATAATGGAAATTATGCAATAGTTCTTAATTATTTATCAGAAGGAAATTTAAGAGATTATTTACAAAAAAATCATTCAAAATTAACATTAAAAAATAAAATTACAATTTTTAAATATTTATGTGAATCATTATATTCTATACATGAAAATAATTTAATCCATTGTGATTTGCACAGTGGTAATATATTATTCCAAGGAGGTGGTTGTTATATTACAGATTTAGGACTATGTGGACCAGTCAATGAAACATCATCAAATAAAATCTATGGAATTGTGCCATATATTGCACCAGAACTACTTAGAGGTAAAACGAATACAAAAAACACAAAAGAATCAGATATTTATAGCATTGGGATGTTAATGTGGGAAATATTTGCAGGTCATCCACCATTTGATGATAGAGATCATAATCATTGTTTGATTTTTAATATATGTGAAGGTTTACGACCACCAATATTACCAGGAATGCCTGATGATTATGTGCAAATGATGCAGAAGTGTTGGGATGAAGATCCATCCAAAAGACCAACTGCTAGAGAACTTGGGGAATTTGCTGTTAATAAACATGGAGAAATTTTTAAAGATAAAAGTTTGAATAATAATATTATTAGTCATGATAGTGGTGGTGGTAGTAGGAATTCGTACAAACCACATCTAGGCGCATTTCATAAAAGTAGAATATTAGATGATGAAATTATTAAATCACTAAGGTTAGCAAGTGGTGATAATTCATTGAATAATCTTGATTTTAGTTCTTTTCTCCTAAATGCTGATTTTAATAAAGGTAAAAAAAAGGTTCATTACTAATTAATTGGAAACTACTATCTATTTAATTATTATTAACAGTATTTTTTAATCAATTAATAAACATTAGATTTTAGTAACAATAGTAAAGGAAATATGTTAATTGATTAGGCGATAAATTATCAATGGATAAATTTATTCGTAATATCTTTTATTTTATCTTTTCGTCATTACTTTATTTTTTTAGACTAAACTTGAATAATAAATTTTTTACTATTTCTAATTCTTGCCTAGAGCAGAATAGAAAAATATTTCGATAAATATTCGAATAGTTTTGGTCAGACGTTTTTCCTTTTTCCTTTATTATTATTGTTTAAGTAATATTTGTGGCGTGGTATATACGAGAATTCTTTATTTTCAGAATATATTTTGACCCTAATCCACTGTAAGGAAAGCATCAAATATAAAACTGGTTAAAATTATGCCCGCGGCTCTAATCACCCTTTGATGTATAACCATTACCCTAAACAATTCACTAGTGATCTCATCCTTTCTTTTGGGTGGGAGAGCGTGTAAAATTAAATTGCCTCTTTCAATTAACCTTGATTCGAAGAAAAAGATAGAAATTTCCCTTTTTCCAAATTCCCGAAATGTGTCGTTACGAATTGGTGAACTGCATTCGTTTACAAAAAACATATATTGTAGCGAAGACTTTATAAATAATTATAAAATAATTGATTGATATTTTGGAAAAATTAAACAAATGTTCGTAGAATTTTATATGCAATACTATTACTCAACCAATAAATTTTTTTTTTGGTTTTCGACCTTTGAAACTTACAATAAATGAAAAATAAAATAATTATATAAAAGTCTGTTTAATAGTAATAGATCATCCCGAAATTTATATATCACGGATCATGAATTAATATTAATAATAAAGGTGAATTAAATCGTTTTATATAATGATAATGATAATAATATCGAACTACGTTTCATGAAAATGACATATTTAAAAATTACACACTTTGACTCTATCACCCGAAGGGAAGCATCAAGTGAAACTAGTTTTTCAATTATCAAAATTATGCCACACCTCTCATTTCCAGAAGGAAAGCATGGGAAGGTCATAATAATGAAAATTCATGGCCAAATTCATCGATCCTAAACTGTAAACGAGTCCCATTATACTCGGGAATAGTGGTGTTACGATTGATTCAATCGTTTCAACGATTGGATAGTCGGATAATCGTTAAATATTAATAATAATAAAAATAAAAATAAAGGTAAAAATATTTACACAAGATTTATTAATCCTTGTGGAAATATTTTTACCATTAGAAATTGGCGCCGCCAATTTAATCACGTGAAATTTTTTTAATTGGCAAATTGGATAAAACGAACGACATAACTGATAGTGATGGTGTATGCACTATCTAATCCAATTAAAAATTTTTTCTTTATCAATTCTATTTTTCCTTCGTAGTCCTTATAGTGATAATAATAATAGTAATTTAAAAAAAATTTCTACTATATAACAAATAGTCATAGTATGGTTTCAATGAATAATGAACAAAACGATTGACAAGTAATAATTCGTATTACGAATAGAAATTCTAGTCATAAGTCTTCTCCAAAAGAAAAAAATAAAGATAGCTGTTTTGATTAACAATAAGAATTTGTAACACCAAGATTGATGGTGCAAACCTCTATTTTTAATGGAAATATAATACCTCTTTTGAATTCTAAAAGCATTTTTTTTTTTTAACATATACGGATAATATGAATAATCGGGTATTTGCGATTATTTGATTGCCAAGATTTTGATTCGAGTGATTATATAAGTGTTAACCGATTAACCAGTGTGTAAAGACCCTACTCGGGAGGGCTGGGTGTATGAACAAGCCTTTAGACTTTCAACAATTAAAGAATATCGACTTTTCATATTTAAATGACTTTTTTTAAAAAAAAATAAATAATGAAGGAAATTTGCATACATGGGGGTCTTCAATATAAAAGGACCATAATCTAATCTGCATTTAAAACTTTATTTTACGATGTGGTATAATTTCTAATCCAAAAATATTCCAAGTGAAGATATTTGTATATAGTGGTAGCATTTAACTCAAAATCGCTTTTTCGCATTGTTGTATGTCTTTCATGAGAATGTACTCAACCTCTAAACAATGCTTGTAACCGATCTTTAATTATGCATTTTATTTAATCCCTTGTTAGCCCTGCCCTGCCGTGTTTACATTCAGGTACGAAATAATGATAAAGGGAAAGGATTGATGCATTCATTTATTATATTTTTAAAAAATATTCCCCAGAAAGAATGTTATATTTGATATTTCTATTGAATTTTATCTTTTCCAAAATAAATTTGTTAATTTACTAAAACTGCTATGAGTTTAATTTGAGAAGTATACTTGGATCTGATTAGTGATGATCTTAATGGATTGATCTGTCAGATAGAGAAATCTTTCCCTGGAGGGATAAAGCCACACTCGTAAAATTACAAAGAACCTCCAAGGATAGAATACTTAATTTAATTTATCATTTGAAGAGCGAATTGATTGATACAACGAACTCTTGGAAAAGTTCTAATGATATGGTTTCTCAACATTTTTTGGAATTCTTTTTTTTTTCAGGTTGAAACTAGTTAAGGACCAATCAAAATGATACATTAAAAAAATTTACAAATAGTTTTATCATTCATTTATGCCAAACAATTTATTCAAGAAAGGTGTCTAAATCATCTTGACGCTTTTTTAAAAACCAATTGTGTTTTCTTCTAATTGTCGCTCAGAAGTTGAACAAACTATGAATTCTCACGATTTTAGTCCAAATGATTTTTTACATGCAGCTTTTGAAATTGCTTTTAACAAATTCAATGCGCACATTCCTTCATATCCTATTCATCAACTTTTTCAAGCAGCACAGAATTTGATCCGAAATTTATTTTATTTGGAGTCCTTTGGAAAGAAAAATCTTGCATCAATATAAATCAATTGAAGAGTTGAAATCCCCTTCTGATGAACTGTTGAATTCATTGTGGTAAGCAAGTATATAATCTAATCAATCGATGAGATAGATTTGGATAAACATTAAATCTTCAAAATTGCTCTGGAATATCTATATCTAGCTGTAGTATAGAAAGAAGTTTCTCGGTTTATAAATAATATTTTGGATAAAAGCTTTAAATTGCAATTCTAATAGTAATTTTCAATTTTAATTTTTCAATTAATTAATAAATAATGAAGTTCTTGAAATTCTAATTATGCGATTTGATTACATAGTAGAATCAATCAGAGTTGCAAATGAGAAATAATATTCTCAATTTTTATTTAATCGCAGAAATCATTGACATAAAGTGACACGAGGAGGCAACTTTAGCTAATAAAATTAAAGAAAATCATTGTGATACAAGTAGGGTAGTGGAGAAAGTATGTTTAACCAATATGAAGGCAAAATAGAGAAATATTTCTTATAATTATAACTTTTGATATACATACATACGTAAAGTTTAAAATAAAAAAATCAGGCTGCAACGAATTATTTTTGAATTGGTCCCCCCAGGAGCAGATCCATTTTTGGTAAGCCAATAATGACTTTTTGCTGTAGATTCATGAGCGCGTGAAATTCAAATTAGCCAATCTGAATTATGTATTCAAACATCGCCCCAAAAAATTTTAATTAAAATTCAAATTAATATTAATATATTAATATATAAATTAGCCCCCTCCCTATTTATGAAAACTCCCTTATGCAATGTCTTAAAAAGATCTAATATACACTGTTAGTAATGATCTTCAAAGGGTTTGGATTTTTATTGGCAATTTAATGATCGGCAATGCGAAGATTTTAATCTTAGTGTACTCCCAGAAAGTTTTTTGGAAAAATTTCTTGGGAAAACAATTTTGACCGTTTAAGGGATAATTATAAATAAAAAAAAACATATATAAATAAAAAATTTTTTTTTGAAATTGTTTTGAAAATAAATTATAAATAAAAAAATAAAAATTTTTTATTTTTGTAATAATGACAGAAAAATCAATACTAAACATTCAAAAAACCACAGAGATAAAAACAATAAGGTAATTGTTAATTATTAATCCGCAAACTTAATTAATTAACTAATAATTACTCTTATTATATATATATATATATATATATATAGAGTATTTGTAGGAACTTTCAATGTCAGCGGACAAAGTGCGACTGAATCTCTTGCACCTTGGTTAGTTTGCGAATATGATATAGATGTTTATGCTATAGGGTACATTAATTGAATTGAATTGAGTTGAATTGAGTTGATTCAGTCGATATGTAAAAAATTAAATTTATAATAAAAATTAATTAATTAAAGATTTCAGGAATTAGATTTAAGTCCTGAAGCGTATATATTGAGTGATAGTACAAGAGAGGAGGATTGGTGCAGGGCTGTGACACAAGGGTTAGGTGATAAAGCTGAAGATTATTGGAAGGTATGGATAATCATATTTTATATTCTATCATGTTTATTATGTTATAATAATGGATAAATGTTTTAATTATTTAATAACAAAATCAACAAACAAACTATTATTAGATAACATCAAAACAATTGGTTGGTATATTATTGGTCGTTATAGCGAAGAAAAAGTATATTCCTTACATTAAAGAAATCAGAACAGATTGTGCTGGAGTAGGGTTAATGGGCATGATGGTATGAAACTTATTAGGCAAGCAGATTTACATAATTATTTTATTATTTTAATAAATTATTTTTAAAAAATTAAACTTATTTATTTTTGATTCCTGCAATAAAATAATATATTAGGGAAATAAAGGAGGAGTGGCAATAAGATTTAAATTTTATGATTCATATTTATGTTTTGTAAATTGTCATTTGGCGGCAGATCCAAATGGTTTGGAGAGAAGAAATCAAGATTATATGGAAATATGCAGACGTACAACCTTCCCAATAAATGCAAATGAAGGATACTCATCATTATATGGTTGGGTTGGTGATTATATACCACCGTCTGCCAAATATGCAGTTTCAGCTGTAGCCGGTGGAATGAGTGGAATGGTTGGTATTAGCATTACAAATAATAACAATAATAATAATAATAGTAATCATAATAATAATGGTGTTAATAGAAATGGTGTTGGTAATGGTCAAAGTTTACCTATATTTGATAATGAGTAAGTTAATTATTTTGGAAATACAAATTTTTTATTTTTTATTTTTATTTTTATTTTTATTTTTATTTTTATTTTTATTTTTTTATTTTTGGGAACAAAATATCTTTTTTTCTAAAGAAAAAAAATTTATTATTAGTCATTTAATTTGGTTGGGAGATTTAAATTATAGAATTGCTAAATTGCCAGAATATGAAGTAAAAAATTGTTTAGAAAATGACGAGATTGATCTTTTACTAAATTTTGATCAGGTAAATGTTTTTTTCAAGAAAGAAAAAACAATTTAAATGCTTGATAAATATTTTTCATTATAATTTATTTAGCTTACTACTCAACGAAGAAATAAATCGGCATTTCATGAATTTGAAGAAGGGAAAATCACGTTTCTACCCACTTATAAATATGATTTTGGAACAAATGATTGGGATACAAGGTAAGAAAAATAAAAAAAAACTTTTTAACGAGAGAATTAATTGTAAATTTGCTAAATTATTTCCAAATGAAACACCAGTGAAAAGAAAAGATCACCTGCATGGACAGATAGAATATTATGGAGAAGCAAAGATCAATCGGATTGTAAACAGTTAGCATATCGTAGTCATATGGAAATAACGTTAAGTGATCATAAACCTGTCAGTTCAATATTTGAATTAAAGGTGAGTGATATTATTATTACTTTGTAATCGAAGGGGGAGATATTTCACATATATATATATATAAGAATTTAATAAATTAATAAATAAAAAACATTTAAAATTTAAAAATTTGAATAAACAATCATGCTTATCATTATTATTATCATCATCATTATTAATATTCATAAACAATACAGCTTCATGTAAACATAATAGAAGAAGAAGAAGGTTTTAATGATCGTGATGATGGCCATAATGTTATTATTGAAAAAGAGTCATACCAAATAGAAGATAACGATGAGTGCGATACATTGTGACAACATATATAAGGATAGAAGTAATGTTAGTGTTAGTATTAAGATTGATGGTAGCAAAAATAGAACTAGGACAATATAATTGTGCTGCTAAGATACATGCCAAGTTCATGACACGAGATCAATAATATTTCACTACTCTTTGTAAATTATTGTTTTATAGAATAAAAGAGAGCCTAAAGATAATCACTAATTTGCAGGACAATATTCATATAACTTTTTTTATTATTTCTTGTATTTTTAATTATTAATTTATTTTTTTGTAATTTTATTTTATTTATTTGTTTAATTAAAATAATAACACTTAATTTTGGTAAAATTTTGATCCTTAATTCCATGTAAATTAAATATAAAATGAAATCTAGCCAAGATCTTGCTGACCAAAATACCTTTTTACAATTGTGATTATTATATTTAACATTGCAATTTTTTGATCGTTCTTTTCAACCTAAAAAAAATAAAAAATAAAGAATCACAATTTTAAAAATTTGGGAAAAAGTTTTACAAAAACAAAATTTTATAAATTACCACCAGATTTCCACGAATTTCAATACATTTTTTGCATAGTACTCTCAAATTACTTATTTGTCCCGCAGTTAATAATTTATCAAGATGTAATAAAAGCGCAAACATCCATTGAGATTGTCTGACTGTAATATCATCATCTTTTAACCATTTGATATGATATGAAAGGACTGAATATGTAGTTGCCTATAATTAATAAATAGATGAATTGGATTCAAAGCAATTAGTGAAAAATTTTCACAAGATACGAATTTTGATTGTGCATAATTACTTGATCTAATCTTTTTATAATGCTTAAGCTAGGCGAACATATCATTTTAATTTCCTCCAGTTCATTTGTTTTTTCTTGCTCGCCATAACAAAATTTAAACCAACCAGGTTCATCTTGACGCTTTGGTAGTTTTTTTACACCTGATCTATCATTAGACATTTTAAATTCTTCTAAATCCTTAAAAAATATTTGAAAAACTAGATGATTTTAATTTTAGCAAATAAATTAATAACACCATCAAATAAAAAAATAAATAAAACAAAAAACATAAAGGGAAACCTTTCTTAATTTTTCAAATCTAAATAAAAATCTTTCCTCCCATTCTTTATTTACTAGACTATTATTCACTTTGTTATCTTGTTGTCCATTGTCGTCGTCGTCGTTGTCATCATTTTCTAAATTTGCCCAGCCAGTCCTTACCCAAGCCGCCATCTTGACATTCGAATTGTTATTGATTGGTACTCGCTTTATGGGGTGTTTTGCCATTATGATATCAGGCATTTTCTTGGCTTCATTCCTTACCAAACTCAAGTAAGCGTCTCCCGAACTAGGAGGTTTATTTGGTTTAAGCACAGGGATCTTTTCAGAAACTGGTAATACTACTCGAACCAATTCATCCGAACTATTATCGTCATCGTCACCATCATCGCCGTCGTCGTCATCATCAGTAGAAGTAAGAGCTAATTTAGGAAATTCATGAAGAATTTCGTCAGACATTGGGATATATTTATATATAAACAATTTTTTTTAGTGATCCAAGTCGTTTTTTTCCAAGTTAATTCTTGGATATGTACCATATATGGAAGTGATTTTCTGTGTGCATATAAATATCGTTGTTTGATAATAACTGCTTTATTGAATTTTCTTTTGATAATAGTTCGGGTCAATTTTTACGTAGTTGAACGACAGAACAATTTTTAAGAATATAATAAATAGTAACATATTTAGCAAGAAAAAACTTTCAAAAAGTTTCAGATTTGTTGACAAGCGAACTATAGCGCAAACTTGCATGATTACACAGAAAATCACATCAACATATGGTAAGTGTCCACTGTCCCAGACATTACACAAATGGTTTTTCTTATTTAGGAATGCATCAATCATTTATTTACGTAAACAAATAAATATATCTGCTTATTATTTTTCCCGAAAATTTTCAATAGATCTTACTTGGCATAAAGAAATTCGATTTTCTTTGAAAAAAAAAATAATTGATTGTATCTCAAAAACAACAATATTACACATTATTACAAGCAATCAAGCGAGCAATCAAAAATCATAAACATAAACAAACAAACAAATATTGAATATTAAACAAAATTCATTAATTTTGCGACAAAGGAAATTATGTATCATATGCACATGGGGGAGATTTGAATTGAATTTTATGCAATCTTAAAAATCCTAAATATTGATATTACGTTTCAACTTCATTATTAACCTTATTACGACATAGCATACCTAATATGGATAATTATATAACTATTAATTTTCCAAATATGAAATACAGTTCAAAATACAGATCCAAAACTTTTTGTTTCAAGTATTCTACGTAAGCATTTATTTCTCGTTCTTAATTATTTGTGCATCTTTGTTTGCAGAAAACATAATGTAAAACAATTGTTCATTTATCAAAAACAAAAAACAAAAGGCGAGTTTTAATTGATTTTCAAAATAGGGAAACAGCACTAGATCATATGCAAAATTCCCGCGTTTTATAGTTTAATCTTGCTGCTCGCTTTATCCTCTTTCTACTCTTCCGTGTCACTTACCGGATTAATCAATTGATTACTTTTTTTTAATTAAAGATTTCAAATTTTTTCTGGATAATGAAAAATACTTTGAAAGAACCGACCGCGTGTCAAAACGTTCCCTACAAACGTGATGAATAAAAATAGTGATACCATAAAACGAAACAAATAAAAATAGATTCGAACGCATAAATTGTTTCCTTTTACCAAATAAATATAGATTGTTTTACAGCAAAATCGATTGGTAGATAATTTTATCTTTTTTTTTAATCTAAAAATTATCATAATAACGATAAATGTTGGTCAAAAATCAAAAAATCAATTTTTTAATTTGTATTAGGTATTATTAGGTATTAATTAGGTTTATATAATTTAAATAAAATTAACAAAAAAAAAAAAATTATTACATTAATTAATTAAGGAATGTAAAAAACAATTAAAAAAAGCCTTCATCTAATTAATTACGACCTTTTCGGAGAAGTAAGGTGAGATAGAAACCGAAGCGGAATACGAGAATTAACCCAACAAGTGCCAGCTACAAAAGATAAAAATAATTGATTAGTCACTCATCATGTCTTTAATTAAATAACTTTCCCTACTACTAATACTACTACTACTACTACAACCATCACTAATTGAAACATTTTTACTTACCGCCCATTTAACAAACTCAATTTCAGTGTAACCGTAATCATCTAAAACGTCTTTTCCGGTAAATGAACAATTCTTATCTGCAACATCTCCTCCGAACCTACATTTACAATTGGCTTGTGAACAATCAAAAGTCAAACCAAGGAAATCATTTTTGATGATAGCCTCAAATGCGTATTTTTGATAATCTATATAATGAGCCCATTTCCAAAGTTTTGGAATTGCGTCTCTTCTCACAAAATATCCTTCCACTACCATAAAAAATCCATTGGCGAATGCCACAATGGTAAGACTGGCCACGAAAATTGGGATTAATGCCGAAATAAATATAACCATTGATTCTGCCACCATCAACACCAAAAAAAGATTAACCAAGAATATCACCACATGATCCAAACCTGAATGTAATCCGACCATTGGATACATAATCATGGAAAATGATAGTGTGATGATCATTATAAATGGCATTGTAATCAATGTGTTAGCAATTATATACGGCCCAACTGAATAAAATCCATTCGAACGTTCCCTTTGAAATACCAATCTTTCTTCCAAGAACCCGGGGATTCCAGCCACACTCATAAATACTAAAAATGCTACTGAGAAGAAATGGACCGAAAATCGATCTTCTATTCTTTTTTGATCATATCCAATTTGCCACCAGGTAGAACCCATGAGAACAGCCAAAGACATATACATCACCACTCTTATCCAGTAGACCAATATATTTCTCACTGCATTCTTGAGTGATCTTTTCGTTAAAATTGCTGTTTGCATAATGTAGTTGCGAGCATATCTTTTTTTCTTTAAATCTGTGTTTGTATTTACTTCTTTGCTTCCGTACGCAATTGCTTTAGTAATTTGTGAGTCTATCTTTGTCTTTGTTGGAGAATTTTTGAAAGATTCACTAAAACTCTTAATATGGTGTCGAGCCTCAGTCACGTCTTTCATGAAATCGCTATTAACCAATCTCAGGAAATGATCTGCTGGATTAGCGAACCGAGGACATGGATGTCCCAATCCCTCAAAATATGTGGTTGCTTCATCCCTCTTACCGAAATACAATGTCTTTCCGAGTCCGAGCAAACAAAGCTTGTCGAACAGGGAATAAGTTTCAGTTGATGGTTGATGTATGCTCAACACAACTGTAAGTCTATAACTTTTTGCCATGCTAACGATCACATTCATTACATTGTATGCTGCGAGAGAATCCAAGCCAGTGGTCGGTTCATCAAGAAATATAACCCTAGGCAATGTGAGAACTTGTGATGCTATTGCACATCTTCTTTTTTCACCCCCGCTTATTCCTCTCACAAAAACAGTCCCTATCTTACTATCTGCCACCCTTTCTAAACCGAATTCTTCTATTATGGATTGTACTCTTGTTCTTCTCTCTTCATAGGTGAAAGTTTCTGGAAAGCATAGATCTGCAGCAAATTGGATATTTTCTCGCACTGTAAGAACTCCCATCAAGGCATCATCTTGCATTACATACGTTGACACGTATTTAACGTTGCCTGGTTTGCCATTCAAATACATTTGTCCCGTGACTAAACTAGGATTTTTACGTCCAGCTAATAAATCTAGGAATGTTGATTTTCCTGCACCACTTGGTCCCATGATAGCCAAGACTTCTCCAGGATTAACGATTCCACTCGCATTTCGAATTATACACTTTTGCTTTTTGCTTTTTGGGTCAGTTATCGTATATGATAAATCTTTCCATGATAATGATATAGGTTCGGTAGTTAAATTGTCCTTATCGCCTTCTTTTATATTAATTGAGATTTGTCTACTACGAGAACGTTCCGATGTATAATGGCTTGAGATTTGCCTACTACGAGTACGTTCCGGCACATAATTGCTTGAAGGCATAGTTAAAAGTTATGGTGAGGATTTTAAGTAAAGAAAGGGAGAGGAAATGTGGTGGTGATGTTGCTAATGCGCAATTATGCTTTTATGTCGTCAAATTCAATTTTTTGTGCTAGGAAAATAAATCAAACGAACGGTTTTTTTTAATTGAAAATTTTTGGGCAAGAAATATATTCTTTTTTATATGAATAAATTTTTTTTTTTTAGTTGACATCAACGGATGATTATTAATTCAATTTATCGGACATTTAATAAATAAATGATCATTGTTGAAATTAGTTTCTCATAGAATACTTGTACCCAAAATTCATTTCAATAATAGCCAAAATTACATTTAAAAATTATTTAGATTTTTTATTGGCAAAAACAAATTTCGGTTAACATACTAAATTAGTCAATGATCATCATATTATTATATAGTTTTTCAATTTCAATTCATTCAAAAATGAATGAATTGAATTGCAATCATGGATATGATTATTAATAACTATTTTTCATTCACACATTCTCTATTTCAAAGTATCACGCAAGCAACTCATGTCAAAGTATATGCATTCTCACATGCATATATTTCGAAAATTTAACTCGAGATCTATCTGGCTCGCTTTACAGACTATGTATTTGCAAGTCCCTGCTTGATAAACGAGACAATGTCCCAATGAAAAACTAGGGCATGGGAAAATTATATGTAATTCCGTTCGTATTATGAAAATACTAATATGCAAAATACAGTTTTTTTTTTTTGATAAAAATAGTTAGTGATCTACTTTCATTAAACCATAATCATAATACATATCTTCTTCATAGTCAAGATGATTATCGGTGGTAATGCCTTCTATTGAAGGAGAGAAATTATTGCCTTTTCTTTTTCATCCACACTTGTGCCCTGAATCGCTTTTATTTTTTATTTTTATTTTTTTTTCTTCTTGCATTGGTATTTCGTTGGTAGAAGGCTTTTGCAGTAATTCCTTTTTTTCTCTCAAAGTAACTCGTACCATTTTTTATTAAGTGAAAAATCTGAGAATTTTTCCTTTATAAAAATGTTCCTATAGAGAGTTTGTTCTCGGATAGAGATGTTTTTATATAAGCTTGATAGTGATTATTTCTCAACATATGTGATGTGTTCTTACGGAAAGATTTTTATATGATATCCTTATATGAAGGTATGGCTGTATTTTCAATTTACCGATCAGTTCACTTGATTTTACGTTTTTTTTTTTTTGATTTACATCATTGGGCCGATTTTTGTAAGTATAATAATGAAGAAAAAAAAAACAAATCAATAATCCATAAAAAAAAAAGTTTCACTTGTAAAAAAAAAAAAAGTATGCATTTTTGCTAAATATTGTTGTAAAGATGTTTTATGCGAATCAGTGATAACGTTTGTGTTCATTAAAACATAAACTAGGATTATAACGGTTGACTTCTTGAGTTAGATGGTCTCTAATACAAACAATATCACACGAAACATTGGATATTAAAACAAAAATTTTAATCTATTATGGAAAGAAGAGTCTTGAATGCGTGTAATAATTGTGAAATTTGCTTTAGATTTAATTTTCTCTGATGAAAGGGATCATCAATTAATCGTACGAGTCATTTTTAAAAAGGAAATAACAAAACATGATTAGATAATGACTCTAAAACATATACCAGGATTACAAATGTTGGTTTCTTTGGTTACTTGCCTACATTGTCTCTAATGCAAACATATTATAGAAAACATTGGATATTAAAATATCAAAACAAAAACTTAATCCATTATGGAAAAAAGAGTCTTGAATGTGCGTAATACTTGTGAAATTTCTTCAAATAGTTATTCAGTAGTTGATTTTCTTTTCGTGGAGGAGATCATCAAAAGGAAATGGAAAAACATAATTCAGATAAGGTATCGATTACAGCATGCGATTGTAATACCATTCTCTAACAGTTTAACCCTGAAATTGTGTATTCCGTCCATATCAATCAATCAGCTCGTCAGCCACGAATTCGGCCTTTTTAGAAAATCCGACCCAATGAATAGTGGTAAAATTGATGAATTGTAGCAGTATAATTGATATTGTCTTATTTTTTTTTTTTTTTCAATTGTTGATGTGTATGTTAAAGTTGAACGTTTTAATTTTTTAAAAATAATAAATTTTTTTTTTAATGTTAAAAATGTTTATTGTTCTTTTTTTAGTTTTTTTGATGTTACAAATATTTCCTTTAATTGCATTGAATTGGGAATATATATAAAATGTTAATCTTCTAGATGAATTACACAAAAATATTAAGCCACAAAATAGAAATAAAAATTGGAGACTAAAAGAATCAAAAGAATTCTAGAATGCATAGTCGTATGGATTGTGAGTTTGGGATTTATTAATTGTACATAGAAAAAAAAAGTAAATAAATTTTAAAAATAGTAAAAAACTAGAATAAATAATCTGTTTTTTTTAAAAACACGCCCTTTACCTGGTTTGAAATTGTAATCATTGCCATTTTCTATTATTCAACGTTCAGAATGTTTGTCGATCGCAATTCAAAAAAAAGAACAATAATTAATTTTTAAAAACAACTACTGAGGATTGACCAGCAATTTATAAAATTCTTCCATTTTTGGCAAAATCTATGTTTATCTTTACCTACTTGGAACCTGAAACATCAAAAGTTAATATTATCTCATCCCAAGGGAAATTATATTTAGAAATATATTTAAAATTTGAATTTCATTTTATCCAAAAAAAAATAATATATTCGAAACATCACTATTAATACCCTTAATATTGTTTCCAACTTACTTTGCCTTACCAAGTCTCTAGGTTGTTTTTCTTTAACTAGTCCTTTAAACAAGGCTACCTGGATGAAACGATTGAATTAAATTAGAACAGAGACTAATGTTTAAATAACAACGAAAAAATTTAATAAAATTTAAATGTTGTTGTGTAATAAAATTATTTTTTTATTTTTAAAATGCGTGTCGATGATCAAACGATCAGCAAAATAAGAAAGTTTAAAATAAATAAATATATTTTTTTTGGGTCTCGCTATGAAACACATCAAATCACCGAGAAGTTTGTGTTAATATTATATAATTAATAAAGGGAAGATGTTGTTATACATGCTACATGATAGGAGTAAGTCACAACAAAGGTTGCAGATCTTAAAATAAAATAAAATAAAATAAACTTAAATAAAATAATATAATATATATTGATCCACTTTCTGTCATCATTCTTGAAAAAAGTATAAATAAAGTGTTTTTTTTTTTAAAAAAAAATCCCAGGGAAAAAATAAATTAAAAATTTACAAATTAAGAAAAACTCGATTTTTTTAAAATATTTTATATTTGCAGAAATAACCAAAATTAATTTTTACATATATACATTATATTCAATTTTTATATTTACGTATTTTTTTCAATTTTTAAAGAAATACTCAACACATTCACTTTACAATTTTTCCTTTTTTTATTTTCCCTATAAAAAACAAGTAAAGCTAAATAAAAATGACTAAATCAACACCACCTGCATTAAAAAACAAATCATCATCAATAGCTTCTTCTTCTTCTTCCTCCGCTTCCACTTCTTCTTCTTCTTCTTCTTCTTCTTCTTCCACTTCTTTATTAAAACCAGCAACGGCAAGAACAAGAACAAGTATAATTAAAACTTCATCTTCTCGTAAAAAAACTTGTCATCAATACGAGACACCAGAATTTAAATTGAAATTAAAAGAATCAATCGACTTGCATCTAAAAAAGATGTCTCCTGATTTCCAAAAATTTAACACGAATCTTCCTTTGGTAAAACTTTTGGCACCTTGTAAAAAAGTCAGAGGAAAACAAGGAAGGATCACAAGGCCTCAAAATAATTTTATATTATATAGAAAGGACTACCAAGAAAAAGTAAGGCACGAAAATCCCCAAGCTACCTTTTCAATTATTTCTAAAGTACTCGCCGAAAATTGGAAACAAGAATCCGATAAAATTAAAAATAGTTATACATTGTTGTCTACTCTTTGCACCATGGTCCACCATGATTTGTTTCCCAACTACAAATACAAGCCAAGAACTAAATCTTCCTTAGGAAAGGACGAATCCGTTATGGAGTTATCTAATTCTTCAATAAATAATGACGATGATGATGGTGATGATGGCGATGATGATGATGATGCTTTTAATGATGATGAAGATGACAATAATAATTGTCGTAATAAATCCAAGCCTTGGGACGATGCTGCAACTTTACCTAAAATGTATAGTAGTAGTAGTAAAAATACTGATGATGATGACAACAACAATAATAATGACAATAATAGTGAAATCACTAATAATACTATTAGCGACATCAATAGCAATAATAATAATAATTATAGTGTTAGTAATAATATTAGTAATGACAATATTAATGATAGTAATAATTATTATCTATATGAAACTTCCGATTTTACTTCTGAAAACAATTTTAATTTCACGCCGGATATAAATATTGAAAATGCTTCGATATTATATCAAGATAACAACAATAATATGACTCAAAACTCTACAATTGTTGATTACCAACATCAGCAATTAAATCTAAGTTCCCCAGATCTAATTCTAAGTCCATCAACAACTGAATTAACCGACTCGTCCGGGAACATTACTATCAAGTATGGTGATTATTTGAGTGATGATAATTCAATCGATGATATTTTCACCTCAAATAATTGGAATTGTGATAATGTGTTCAACACTACCACTGCCACATCTGCTAATTTTGCTGATTCCATTACTATAAATGATAATACCACTACATCAAATGATAGTATATCAAATTTTTTTACTAATAATAGTAGCAATAGTAGTATTTTCGACATTAGTAATCTCAATGATTATAATATTAGCAGTAGTAGCAGTAATATTGGTAGTATTAGCAACGCTACTACTAGTAGTAATAACATTATCAATAATAGTAACGATTCTATAGATCAGCAACAAATTTACATCTCTTCTTTCGACCAACAACAACAACAACAGCAACAACAATCAACAATAATTGATCAATTTTTAAGTAGTGATTTCGAAAGTTTCGATTTTGCAAATAATTATGTAATTGAAATTTTAAACGATGCCGTCAATGGTTCAACTCAATTCAAAAATTGTTAGATATGTTTGCTAACGAAAAGACGACAATTGTTTATTATATTACTATTATCGAACAATTATTTTCACATTCTTTTATATATATATATTTTTTATTTTTTTTTCATCATCGTAGCATATTATTACGGTATCATTGGCATGATATTATTTTATTTTTTATTATCGATTTCGTGGCAAACCGGATATGTATAGAAAATTTGGCATTTCATTTGTTATTATTCATTTATTTTCTTTATTATTATCATATTATTATTTATCACATCATTTTTTATTTATTATTTGTGTAACAAAAATTTATAGATAATTATATATGTAGAAATTTGTATGTAATATCTTATAACTAATAAAAAAGTAAATTCAAAATTTCATCATTTTAATATGTATTATTAATTAATTAATTAATTAATAATGAACAACGAGTATATGCATTAAAATGCAAATAAATAACAGGAAGGCAAGTTAGGATCATATAACAAAGAATGTCATAAATTATACAAAGAAAAAATGGGGTTTTACCCAATATAAATAAAAATCCCAAAAAATATTGTGCGCTGCATTTATGAATTTGATAGTGTGTGACAAAGATCATAGGATTGTTTACCAAGATAGTGGGAACATTATGTGTTGGTTCTTCAAAAAATTACGTGAAACATTTAACCAATTAATACAATTTCTCATTGTTACTTCACGGTTCTATAAATAATGAATATATATATATGTATATATATATATATATATATATACGAATCTTCTATTAGTTAATTTTGTTTTTATTATATATTAATATGACAAAGAATTACAAAGACCTGGTAAAGTTTTTTCTCTTCCCCCATTCTAATCATGTTTATATTCATACACGCATTTAATATAAATAAAAAAACCCAGAGCGAGGAGAGAAGGTGTTTCGATTTACTGTTTACGAAAGAAAGGTCTCGATGGAAAGAAACAAAAAATCATTGTTTACTTTGAAACCAAAAAATTTGATTTTATTTATGTATTATGTAGTTAATATTGTTAATACAGACCGATTCTAATTAGATTTGTTGTTGTTGTTGTTGTTTTTAACGTTATTTGTTGTTTGTTATTTTACTATTACTGATTTTTTCTTTATTGTTTTGTCGTTGTTGTTTACTATATTTTTCAATTTAAATTTCGGCAAGGAGTGTTTGATGAAAAACAACTTGTTGTTGTTTACTGTTTCGTTATTGGCAAATGAGTGTTTTGACATGTTTGATGAAAAAACAAAAAACTCTAATTCAATAACAAGTGTTGATCGACTTTTATGGAAAATAAAATCGAGGGGAAAAGATGATATAAGACGGAGGTGTGTTCAGAAACTTTATGATGATACATGTTTACATCCATTGTAAGTTTCGAAAAATCTATTTTTAAAAAAATCAAAGACTTCATATGAATAAAATATATCATTATCATGCGGAATCAAAAAGACTAAAAAAGTAAATTTAATATGGTACAGTGTGTGTCACTTATGACAGAGTTGGCACTCCCAAGGAAATTTCATAATAAAAAAATTTTAATGAAAAATATTAAAAATATTATTTTATCTAGAGTTTGCATAAATTGATGTAGGAGGTTCCTTTACAAATAAACTACTTAAATTCCATTTCGCGCTTCAAGGTGAACATTATTAGCAAAGTTTTTATCAGCATCAACATTAAAATCTAAAAACTTTCTCTCTTCATTTAAAATTGTTTGGTTTAGGTCACCTTCACATTGATCACCTAAAATGTGGACAATTTCTAAGGTGCCTTTTGCACTCTCCTTTTACATTAGTAAAAACTAAGCATATTTTTACTTGGACAGCAAATTGCAAATTTATTTTGACTTGTTAGCCTGTTCATTTAAAACCATCATGTATGGTGTCAAATCATGCTTTGGTTTTCCACTAGAATGTACATTTGGAAATTATTTTTTATTTAGGTAATGATCTACATAACGGATCATAGAGGTCCATTGGTCCAATGAAGGACATTGTCATTGCCAACAAAGCTGCACAAAAATTATTCACGAATGGACAACTTGGACATATATTTACAATTGTCCAGTGATTCAATAAAAAGTCATTGGACATTGTCCATTGCAAATTCTGCCTATGATGCTGAACGTCTATAGCCACCATTTACTGCGCCGACCGCAAATAGAATCTCAAAAATTTGTTAGTATTAGTTATTAATGATAATATTTGGAATTTTTTTATGTGATTTGTATCTTTTTACAGAATATAATAATAAAGCTTCTATACCTGTTAAGCCTCCAAGATCTGCATGCAAACTTTCAATGGAATTGTTTTTTCTATAGATGACCTGAATTTTTTTCCAGAATTAGAAATCATTTTTTAATTCTTGCCAAAGATTTGACCAAATCATATAAGCTAATAACATATATAAACTCTATAGGTCGGTCATGTGGGGCGAGCTCATATGACCGACTTATCGAATTAAATTACTTAAATATTAAGAAAATGGGGTGAAAATTTTGGCCGACTTATCGCGAGACCAACTTATCGAGTGACTGACTTATTGAGTTTACATATGTACTAAAACAAAGAATTTGACAATTAGGTTTTATTGTTCATGGCTCAAGTTTCCAAATTTATTAAATCAAAAATTGGCCGAGCCTTAACATTTTGAAAATTCTAAATTTTATTATACATACAGTCAAAGCTCATTATAGTGGATTTTGCCTATAGTGAACTTTTTTTATTTCCCCAATTCTCTTTATAATAAAATTTGTTCGTTATAGTGGACTTCTTAATAAAATCCCTCTATTGTGTATAGTGGACTTTTAAAAAATTGATATAGAACATACCTTATGAATTAGTGGAAATCATGTGGTTTTATGGCAATTTTTTACATTAATGGTTAATGTTAATGTGGTTTCTAAACGGTAATTTGTTAACAATTATTTATGCATTATCCTTTTTTGATGGCGGCAATAAAAGTATTCTATTCTTGGTTAATTTGTTTTAACAATAAATTAATGTTTGTACATTATTCTCTTTTTTTTACTGATGAAGAAATTATTAGTGGGGTCAAAACCTGAGGCTTATGAAGAGGAAGATGGTTATTTCTGATAAAGAGGCATTAAATAGTTTGGAAAAAACGATTCAATATTTAAAAATCCGCCAGGTAATTTTAAATGATTAATAGTTTAAAATCAAAAATTCATAAACGTGTTCAGGATAATGCAAAACAACTTATGTTCGTTCGACAGTTTTATTTTATAATTATTTACTACGTATAAATGTACATGAATTTATTTGTGTTACTAATAAAAAATTCATCTTGTTATAAGGGACTTTTCAATTTATTTTATTCGTTATAGCGGACAAAAATGCCTGGAACCAAGTGTCCACTATAACGAGCTTAATAATGAAGTAAACTTGTGTGACAATAGTGGTTTTACAATAAATAAAGTTATTGCATTTCTAATAATATCTACAAGACAAACGTTTTTACATGATTCGAATCCTTTTTTAAAGCTGAATTAAACGGTGACTTTTTTTAGAATCCAAAGTGTGGATCACATGATATTTTAAATTTTTCAACTAGATGATCTGGACAACATCAATATTTTGAAAATCTCACTGTCACAATAAAACAGACTTCTTTCAAAATCACGCGGCCATAGTTCTGCATCATTGAAGTTGGATTTTTGCGCTATAGGGTCAATTTGAAATCTCATTCAATATTATCATCAAATGACAAATAAATTAATTACATGACCCAATCGAATATTTACAACGGATTCAACCATTTTGAACTTGAATAAAAAAAAACCAATCCAAGGAATTTTTTAATGTAATAATAATTTCATAAATCATAAAGGCCCCGCAACTAAAAGGAAAGTTCTTTGTTCCTTTCTCTGAAAAACCATTCCTATTTTAGTTATAACCGTTTTTGGAAGGCCATTGTTGTGTTCAATGTGACCTGCACATACGTCCATTTCATAAAAGAACATTTTAAACTTGAGATTTGAGATTTGACCAAATTTGGAGTCTCGAATTACAGAGTCATTTGTAAAAGGACCTATAAAAACTACATGCAAGTTGGTGATTATAGACTACATGCATGCACCATACGAGGTTAGTATTATTGAAGACTGAAATCTTTAGCGCGTATGCATATATAAAAAAGTGGGCTAGTATGCAATTAGGTTTCCATTCAGGTTTTTACTCCCCAGGAAACTATATAGACATAGTAATAGTAATAGATTAGCCATTAACATCAACTCTTGATCACGTATTTGCTGACCCTAACCTATATTTTCCGGATCCTTGATTATCAAATGTATTTGGAAGATAATAACAAATTTTTTCGCAACATTAACTCAAAACTCAATTTGTGTTAGCAATCAAGTCAGTTTCTAGTAGAAATACCTGTCATATCGGCTATATATATTGGATCATCATCTATTACTACATCGATTTTGATAAGGAGCAGTATATGGGGTGCTAATTTCATGGCATTTATTTCTTATAAATAATGAGGATAGGAATATATAGGATATTAAAAAATTACATCAAATATTTAAAAAAATTAAAAATTAAATTAATCTACAAATTATCATCTCCATATTAATATGTTGACTAATTGACAAGTTTTAATATATATATAATATGTATATATTCATAATACTTTTATCTTTTGATACAGAAATGATCCAACCGGTAGTCTAACTATCACAAAACGCTCTATTTAGAGTGTGATGACTCTGAACACTTCATATTCATCAATTGAAAAATTATTTTCTTTAGAGGTTTTAATTTTTAGATTTTTATCATAGACAAATTGTCGATAGTAGCATTTTTCATCGTCCTCAGAATGTCCCCGCATTTTTAAATCCAGAAAATTAGGACCAGTGTTCTCATGATGATAAATTGCTTTATCCGAATTACTAACTCTACTCAATATACCTTTTTTTGGTTTCTTTGCATCAAAAGTAAATATAAAACTTTCCTTTGTCTCAATAAAATATCCGCCTCCTATTCCACCACTACCGTCCATCCCAAAACTATTTGAGTTCGAGCCTCCGGGACTTACAACACTGTTATTACCAACACCGTTATTAAGACTACTACCGCTACCACTATTAGTATCATCATACCAGTACACAGGATTATAACCACCAATAAGTTTGTTAGTACCTTTAATTCTCATAATTACCACTGTACGCTCAACATTATCACAATTATCATGGAATGTTTGCGCAGTAAAATCATCTCGTGTGCCTCTTAACAGCAATTCAAATTTATAAGGTGTTTGAGCCTCGTCATAAGGCTTGTCTCTACGATCAATCCAACTGGATATTAGGCTAATATGTGCTTGAACTATTAATAATGAATCAAGATTCTTTTGTTTACGTTTTTTGGTCAAAATATCAGAATTAGGTTGTGAATCGGCCACTAAATAATGTTGTAACAATTCTTCATATAAATGTGAACCAAGGATTTGCGAGAATGGTTTGACTTTTTTGTAGAAATCTTTTGAGGATATTTCACTGAATCTTATCAGGGGTATGAAATCTTTTAGAATGAATCCCAACAGTTTGAAATCTTCTGGAGCCCATATATTAAGATTTTTGCTAAGTCTTGGATCTTGAGATTGTCCCCAATGTATCACAAAATCCCATATTTCATTCTCTTCAGTGACTAGATCATCTTGATTCAACAACATTAAAAAGAAGTCCTTGTCAACCATTGTGAAATCTTTTGAGTGGAACAAGATTTTTGGATTGTCAAATACCAATGTTGTACAGAATTTTTGTAATTTTACAAATGAATCATGTTGAAATGAGATTTTTTGAATCAGAACAATGTTTTGTTGAAACCATTTATAATGATTTGCTATCAGATGTCCTTGTAGATAATCAATTAATTCACCAAGAAATATTTCATCACATGCCACAAGAAGTTCAAGGATTTCAGCCGGGACAAGGTGAGCAATTTTTATAATTCCTGTATATATATAACTTATGATGCACTCGAATACTTTTGGAGTAACATTTTCTTTTTTGTAAAAAAATTTACCATATTCATTTTTAACCCATTCTTTATTGATAGCATTTGAGAAAAATGGCGACCTAGCTCGTAGGATTGTCGAATGAGCATTGAAGATTTTAGTGTTTGGTTCTTGGCCAACCTCAATAACCATGTCGAAATCTGTGGAACTCTTGAATATTTTATTTAAATCATTCGATAATTTTGAAACCAATTTCAATAACCAAACATCTTTATCAGGACTATTATTAATGTATTCACTTATATTTATTGGTTCTTCAAATATTTCATCTAATCTGTTTCTGTTACTACCACCAAGCTTTGCTCTGCTTCCATCTCCACCTCCAACTCCACCTCCATTCCTAAGGTTATGACTGGCTGTAAGAGGCGTTGTAGCAAGACTTGTAAATGACGTTGCTGCAGTATTGCTATTATATTGATTAGGATCATTAAGATAAACACCGCCTTCACTAACATCAGGATTGTCGTAATCAGCATTATCAATGATACTGTCAATAAGACTAGCACCATCACTATAATTATCACTCATTACACTAATGGCTCCGCCACCACCAGCAGAACCGTAACCATTACCACTAGCGCTTGCAGGACTAAGCAAAGTACTGTCACCTTCTCCTCCTCCATCGGCACCATAATTATTGATATTATTGCTGTAATTATTATTTTGATTATAACCAATCAAACTATTATTGCTACTATTGACACTGACTTCTGATGATGTTGTTTTTACTGATACAGGTGATCTTTGTTCTTCAGATGTGTCATTTTTGCGTAGATGTGGAATTGATTCAGTTCTTCTGATTTGAATCGGTTCAGGTCGCTTCGTTCTTAAAGAGCGTGTTGATGTCAAATTAGGTTGTTGATATATTTGTTGTTGTTGTTGTTGTTGCTGTTGCTGTTGATATTGTTGATAATCCATTTTTTTTTTTTGGTTTTATTGATACAAATTTAAGGTTTAATAAAAAAATATATTTAATATTATAATATTTATCAAAAATATTATAATAACAATAACAATAAATAAAAACGAAAGACTAGAAATTTTTCAAAAAAAGATAAACGTCAAAGAGTGTTATGATGAGTTAATGTATGCGTGTATGTGTATGGAAAGGGTATATATGAAATGAAGAAAAAAAAAGAACGTAAAAAGAATAAGGAAGAAAATTATTTAATTAAATTTAAATTTATTTTTATTTTTGGTGAATAAATAGGAAAATCGTTATTAAATTTATGTAGTACCAATTATTATTTGTATCAAAAATGCGGACCTATTAATCACAGCAATTTAATAATTTAATTTCAAACCCTTGTCAAATTTTTCAATCTATAGTTACCAAAAAAAGGGTTAGTGTAAAGCAAGGTAATCGATTCTTTCGGATCCTTTCCAATTTAAATTTAGGTTTTTATTTTTTCCACATTTTCTTATAACATCATCTATACCATATAATTTGGTTTTTTTTATTTTATGCGTCCAGATTTGATTCTCTTAATAAAATGTTATAAAATCTAGAATTCATCAAGTACTATAATCTTAAATGGGATGTAGGAAACCTGCATCTCCAATTATGAATATCTTGGGTTTTTTAGGAGGAAGACGTTGCATAGAACAATGATGTGCTTGATCTTAGTGAATTTGAAGCAGAAGCAGATCTTTCCAATATTTCGCAAACAACATTCATTTTGGATCTAATAGACATTTTTGTGTCCCATGCTCTTCAATCTTGATTATAAAATTTTCTTATTTTTAATACCTCTACCATTCTCCTGCAAACTTCTAATATAACCTAAAAATACTGTTTTTTCTTTTAAATCTGATATTCTTTTCTTCCTTTCTTATATCTATTCCTCATAAACGTTCTTCCTTCTCCCCCAATCGTGCAGCGGGGGGGGGGGGTTTGATTTTTTTTTTATAAAAAAAATACATTTTTAAATGGTAATTGTAGTCAGGTTGCTGTATCGTAATTTCAATCATTAATGAGCATGCAGATACCTATACCCCAAATCAATTTCAGAATTTAATTCTTTAAAAGATCTTTTATATCTGGAATATAATATGATTTTTTTAATACCCTACTTATTACTGCCATTGCTATTCTGTGTTTTATCATTAACTGGAAGTTTTACTTTCATTCCATTAGTTAATATTTGGTTTGAAAGAATAAAATGAGCTGTAAAATTTATTCCCATTGTTAGATTTTGTTCCATGTCTTTTTCCTATCAAAAATTACATATAATTTTGGTTTTTTTTGACACATATTAATATAGGAAATATTCCGTTGTAAATAAAACTCTACAATATTGTCCTGTAGGACTTTATCAGTAAATACTATACCAGGGACAACCTGCCATTTAATTGGTTCTATAGTTTTTGTCATATAAATTATAATTGGAAGAAGATGATTTGTTGTTGCAGGTTTATCTGAAAAAGCATTTGTTAAATTATCAATCCCAGTAAAAATTTTCAATTCATCTTTCTCTTCTTTAAAAGTTGGTTTTCTACTTTGCTTGTTATCAAATTTACCAATAAGAATTAGTGTTGGTTTCCAAAACTATAGAATTTTGCAACTGTGCGAAAGTCAAAATTTTCGAAACTCGTTTTGAATTTTGACTTTGGACTTTTGATTTAGTTTTGACATATAATTTTTAATTTTAGTTTTGACTTTCACTTCTTCAAAAAATTTTTGGCGACCACCACTAATAAGAATGCAAGATCATGATCAAAAAATTATTTTTTGTTACAATTAAAGAATACTCTGACCGTTTAAGGGATATTTTACAAAACTCGCTTTGGAAGCTTCGTAAATCATGCATGCATCTTGACTCTCCTACAAGTCTACTTTTTCATCAAATATATTTTGGAATAAAGAAAATAAATAATTTAATAGAACTTATCCAATGAGAATATGGTAAACTATATCCCATAATTTTAAAAAAAATTCTGTCAATTGTTAACAGTTACAAGACCTCTTGTATATGAGATTTCCCTAAGTTCTGGCCTAGGAGATAATTATATATGTGAGGACTTGGGGTAAATGCGGAGCAGCAAGATCCAGTTCTTCGCTTGTCGAAAGTATGTAAAACATGGTCTACTTCTGATAGGTTGCATCTTGACGATTTATGACGTCAGCCGTGTAATAGGTTTCCATGTTGAGTATCTAATCAGAGGAGGCCGTTGCATGATAGTGTTAACTTTATCATTTTTAATATTCTCTTTAATTATTAAAACAAAAATAAAATATTAAAAAGGATTTCATTTATGAAAAACGTGAAATTAGATCTCACTATACATTTGAAATAATGAATTATTAGCATGATTCCTCTACATAATTACCGGAATTAATGAGAGTTTAGTTTTTTACAATGTATAATCTGTATTTATTATATTTAAAAAAAATCATTATACTTGATGAACGTTTATCAATTATTCAATAGTTATATAGGCGGGTTGATCGAAGTAAGTGTTAAAGACAAGATATATGATGCGCAAAGCTTGCAAATCAAGGGTTGTAAAATACACTGATGAATGTTTATCGATTATTCAATAGTTGTATAGGCTAGTTTGATTGATGTAAGTGTTAAAGACAAGATCCATGAAGTTTGCAAAGCAAGTTTTGTTAAAATGAACGTTTTGTAAAATATACTGATGAATGTTTATCAATTATTCAATAGTTGTATAGACGTGATCAAGGTAAGTGTTAAAGACAAGATCTACAAAGAAGTTTTGTAAAATATAAAGATGGACGTTTATTAGTTGTATAGGCGTGATCCAAATAAGTGTTACGAAGAAGTTTTGTAAAATGTAATGAATGCTTATCAATTATTCAATAGCTGTATAGGCAGATAAGATCTACGAAGCTTCCAAAGCAAGTTTTGTAAAAGGTAGATTTATTTAAGCATTTATACATTTTTATTTATTGTTTATTTATGTAATATATAAAAACATTGTATTGTAATAATAATCATTAGTCAAAAATCAGTTTCAAAAATGTCGAATCAGACCAGTTTCAAATTGGATAGATAAAAAGGAATTACTTGTTTCGAACTGGTTTAATAAGAGTTTCCATTTCTATATTTATTATTTTTCCATCAATAATTTAATTCCAAACAACGAAGATGACAACAATAACAATAATGAAAGGTCCTGTTTAATCAAAAATCATTTTGGATTGTTGAAAACAAATAAGAGTGTTCTATTTTCTTGAATTGCGTGACCATACTATACAAGGCAAGTATTACTAAAAGTTCAGTAATATTAAATTGGATGGAACTTATTACTGGCTGCTCGGATCGTCCTATTATACGACCGTAGCAGTTACCCCACTGAGTTCAGGCCAATGTGTTAGTTCATAGTCATTGAAAGTCCAGTGAATTATTATTTTTTTCGAAAATTAATAAAGTGGGTGGAACTTTTTACTGGCTGTCCTTCTTTGGAGGAGTGACCCCACTTAAGATGACTAATGTATTAGCTTATGCCTGTTTTACTCAAGGTAGCTTTGCTTAGCCAATTTGGTTAACGAAAAAAACTTTTCCAATTTCGTATTTTTAGATGCTTTCACCACCACAACAAAAAGAAAAGAAAAATTCAAAAATACAACAAGGCAACTCTTCTTTACTTGAAGTGCGATAGTATTTGTGCCCACGTGATGATATTGATATCGAAAAGGAGGCGATATATTCTACTTTACAAATCGATGATAAATGATGATGAAAAGAAGCAATTGGTGATCGCGTAACAACTATCATATTTTATTGAATAAATTCATTTACTATTTTCTTTATGCATAACATTTTCATGATTGTTATTTCATTTACTTTTTTTAATTTAATTTAATTAATAAATTTAATTCACTTGACGGTTTTCAAAAACACGTGACCATAAAATTTTATTGGATTTTTGATTGGAAAATTTCTTTTCTCAAATTGGTATTGTGGCACAAAAAGTTCAACGACCAAGTAAGTGATTAATTTCACTATCACTCGTTTTATATTAAGCTTAATAATTGAGATTATTTATATCAATAAAATTCACAGTGGTTGACTTGGCCTTGAATCAATTAATGTTATTATTTATATTCATAAATATATTGGGAGATAATGTTTGTTCATTATTATTATTGTCATTGACCAAATATAATGAATGCTTTGATCATGGATTATTAATACTGATTAGTGTTCCATGTCGCAATCCAAAAAAGGAAACAAAATGGTTGTAAAGGTGGTTGCAACCAGTGGTTGCGATTGTTTTTATATGACGCAAAGATGGTAGCAACCATCATCAAAAGTTGCAGCCGGTATCCTTAATACTGATACTGATGTTGCACCTTTATTAACATGCTTATTTATTATTATAATAGATAAATTGATAGTTGGTCTCTTAGTCGGGATCCATACCCCAACATTTTTGGATAATTTGTGTTTGATCATCGGGTATTCCTTCGTGTATATCTGATATTAAACAAGAATCGTGAGCTCTATTATCAAATGGTAGATGACCCGCATTGCCAATTGGTATTGAAATTGGTGGTGGAGACAACGTTGGTAATGTAACTATGCCACTATCTCTATTATATCACATTATCTTTATTACGCCAATCTGTGTTGATGATAATAATGATGGTGATGATGATGACTTTGAAGTAGAAGCTCTAGTAGATAAGGATGACGAGATAATTCATTGTTGTTGTTATTGAAGATAAATATGAGTGATTTTTTTGTCTATTATTAAATAAAAGAATAGTCTTGTTTATTTTTTTTTAAAAAATATTTATAATATTAATATCAGAGCACTGCCAAGAATTTGAAGCCAGAAAATTTAGCGCTGTTCTTTTTCAATGAACCACCCACATTGTTGAAAACTAGCGAGACATTGAAAGATGCAATGATGATGAAAAATTTAAAATGAGATCAAGGGAAAATATTTGACTTGAAATAATGTGGACTAATTCTTAATTGATCAATTTAACATGGTAAATAGACTGTAAATGCAAAACAAATTGACTCAACGTTAGTCAAAATAACTCTTAGTTTGATTACACCACATCAATCCAATAATGCAATAAATAGATTGTAAGCAAAAAAAAATTTTGACTCCAAACTAGTCGAAATAATGTGGAATGAATGCTTGAGTAAATAGATGTTTTTTCTTTTAAATACCATATTATTCATCTCGAACAAACAATTTTATTCTGTAAAATAAATTCACTTGTAAATTCCTTGCACACGGAGAACATGAGAGCTGAAACAGAAGAGCTGTATACAAGATAAAATTCACATTTAAGTATAGATTTATTTATTTTGGGTTTTTAATCAAATTTATATCAAAAAAATTTTTTGAGAACATTCATGGTCACTAATGATAATGATTATGTTGTTGCCTCTTACCTTTAAGAGAATGAATGAACAAACAATGTTTGAAGCCTTCTGACATTCTTTTCATTGTTTAATTTGATTCTGCAAGATTACAATTTTGGATAGAAATTCTGGCTATCTTTTCCCAATTGAAATGTTATTCTGACTCTCTAAGCCCGAAGGATCCACTGCAAGTAGAAAGGAAAGCCAAAACTCAACATCGTTTTTGATTGAGATGAATGTTTTCAGTCTTCTGGTCATTCCGACTTGAGAAACTGGGGGAAAGAACATGTTTTCCTGATTACTTTAAGAAATTTTGAGACAAAATAGATATTTTTATCTCTGTCATTGTGATTTCCAAGTTGATAAGAAGGTATACATTGATCCAGATAATGAAAACAAAAAAGGCAGCAATTGAGAAATTTACCAATGGAGCATTGAAAAGGAGAATGAAAGCTGATATTGTTCTTGATTGCTATTGTTAAAGGCAGGGAGAAATGCAATATTGATTGGCCAATTTTTTAGTGCGTTGAACAAATGTGATTGAGTCATGTGATGTTATAACATTTGTGACATCAGAATATCATTGCTATTTGGGATTTGTATACCTTGAAGAATAGGGTCTTTATGCTACAGATATTTTGTATATAATTCTTTTCCTATAGTGGAATAGGGTCAATATATGCTCTGAAAAAAGTTCTTGCAGTAGATTATGACATTAATGGGTTGGATCTATTAATAAAGAATTCTCACACCACACCACAAATGTAACTTTAACAATAATAATAAAGGAAAAAGAAAAACATCTTATCAGAGCTCTGGAACAAGAATTAACAATATTAAAAAATTTATTATTTCAAAATATTATTATAATTTAGCAAAAGTCAAAAAGATAAAATAAAAATAAAAAGATATAACTAATGTAATGAATAAATTTATAGTGGAGATTAAATTAATCATCCATTGATAATTTATCAACTTCATCAACAACCTCATCTATTCTTT